TGAAGACCTTTTTGTGTCGATTTAAACGTTTGCGGGTGGATGGGAGAGGGTCACGTGGCAATGCGGCTTGCAACCTTATCTCAACATCCTGTCTCTATCCCCAGCCAAAGCTTCATCTGTAAAACACAGCAACAGTTCCATCGAAGGCGCTCTAATTGCTTTGTTAGTATGGATTTACTGTACAATATGAATTATCTCGGGGTGTTTCGACCTACCCGATTATCTGGTGTCTACCTCCAGGTATATGCCAGACCTGAAGCTGATGAACACCGAACTTGATGCGCTTTCATGATCCCTGGTTCAATGAGAACTGGGCTCTTTGGTCCCCTTTTTATGGCAGCCAAATACTCATCTGGTCATTCTTACATGTATGGACCGGAACCCGCCCCTCTCGAAGGGAAATGGCTACCTACCGCCAGAGGACGTACTTTCCTAGTCAGCGGCCGAAGTTGCCAGAAATGCGCTCAGCATCAAACTTTTAGACTACATTGTGCTTTGAGTCTGTTGTTTTGTTTAAGATAATATCCGTTTTCATCATAATTCTATCCATCGTTCGTGATACTGGTTTTAGCAGCAGCACAACAGCAATAGTATTCTACATCCAGCTTTCATATCCAATTTCAGTTATCGAGTATGGTTTCAAGAGCATCAAGCGCTACAGTTAACCCCCTGAAGAGACCCAAATCCACTTCTTCTGTTAAGTCTTGCCGTCACATCCCCACTGTCCCAGAACTTATAAATTCTCAGGCTGTGCATTACCATGCAATGGCTGCAGCATCAATTGCCATGCAGCGTTCCAACCAACGAAGCTCCATGGATGTAAGAGGACATTGCAACACATCACATAGTGGGGATAGCGAAGCGGACGCGTTCTCCTTTCACTCCTCTAGAGCTCGAAGTATCCGTTTCATACCTGGCGATGACAATGGTGCTCGGAGTCTACAACCGCCCATCCTGTGCCCAGGTTCTATAGCTTCCCCAAGTAGCGATGGGACTGCCAGAAATGATCTCGCATTCAATCCTGTGGCTGAAGAATTCAACCCGAAAACGAGTGAGTTGTTTGGAATTGACAACAGCATCCCGTCAGCGCCATCATCCTATCGTAAACTCCGCAAAGCCAAATCTATGTTCTCAACCCGCAAGCGCGCGATGAAGTCGTCAGATTCATCCTATTCACCTTTTAGATCCAATACCTACTCAGATAGCTCTGAAATGGGCCACCTTTCTCAAGCGACACTGCGTCGATCAAAGTCTTTCTTTGGCGCAGAGATCACCCGGCAGCCAGATGATGTGAAGCGGACACAAAGCCAGAACGCAGCAATTCAGTTAGCCCGTGAACAATATCTACAGGAACTACAGCACCCGAAGCAAAACTATGGGTCAGAATCTATTCTTAGCGGGAGAGGACGACACCAACCAAGGCCCTTTAGAAAATCTCTTCGGTCTTCTAGTGGTGGGGATGTCGAAAATGGAATCCCAGATGCTATGAAACCCGGCGTAATTCACACCAGTAAAAACCTTCGAAGCTCAAAGTCAAGAATCTTTTCGGCGTCAATCAAAAATGGCCTAAAGAGGATATTTGGACGAGGTTCGGTCGCGCAAGATGAAAAAAAAGTATCCACTGCGCAGCGCACGCATCGATTAGGATTCAGTGACTATGTCAGTTCAGAATCGACAGGTATATTTCAGTCTCCGAATCCGTTGTGGTTTTTATTGAAACATACTAACTCCTACAGGACTAACGAGCATTGGCAACCGGCCAGCGAGTATCAGGACGATGAGAAGCTCGGATAGTTTCGGTACATTCAGTTCCCGCGCAACGAGTTGGGCAGATTCAACCGCTACCACTACTACGGCTGCTAGAGATACTGTATCTGAGAGAAATGGACTTTCTATCATCCAAGAAAATGGTGGCCCACTCGAGCCCATCCCTTCCCGATCGTCTTTTCATTATAACGATGGGTACTCCGTCTTCCGAAAGCCTTTATATCCAGGGCGCAGTGGTAATAATGCTTCTGATGCCGTGGACAGCCAGCGGGTATACTCCGCTCTCTTGAGACATATTGATGGGTCCCACCACCCCGATGAAGGTGATATAGCTCCAAGAGCAGGAACTGTCCGAGGATCGCTATATAGCCCTTCATCGTCAGTATACTCAAACCACACCGCCAAGAGCATTCACCATGTACCTAGCGAGGCGTCAATGAGAACCATCAGAGCGTTGCCTCCGGTGCGGGGCCAATCTCCAGGTTCACAAAGCCAGATTTCGGTAGGCTCGAACTATCGCAGAGAAGCAGCTGCTATTATACCTCAAGAAATTGCTCAGCGTAACGAAAACATGACTCGCTATCGCTCAATGCAGTCGCTTCATCGGTCAAGATCGTCCCTTTGTCAACCTAGACGTCATATGCGATCCGAGATTCTGAACCCGTTTGTCCCGCCTCGATTTTCCTCCTACGAACGAACAACGGGCTCCGACGATGACACTGGAAGTGTGATCGTATCGCGGCCCGATGTTATTGACCGATCTCCTGTCTCCCCAAGTGTGTATTCGCGGACGACAAGCGGGGATAGTCCGGATCGTCAGGGAAGCAGGAGAGATTTGAGTTTGTCAGAAGCTAGCGATGAGCGAGGTACGGTTACTATCCTTGCTAGCGAGAGACTGCCATACAAACCAAAAGATACTGGCGGTTATTCGTGTAGCAACAGCCAAATTAAGGGTAGTGCCGAGTGGAAATCGTGGATGAACTCGCAAATGGACCTTTTTGATACTACTCCTGAGAGCTATGCAATGGCTCAGAATCCCAAATTTCCCAATAGTCATTACCGGGAAAGGACGGAAATTCATGACGAGTCGAAGGATGAAATACACAAGAAGTCGTTCACCACGTCCCAAACAAGCGAATATTCTACTGTAGAACCTATTCAAGAACCAGTATCGTTTGATGTCGACCAAAGACCACCGCTAGTGGAATTAAAACCAATTACGAAAAATAACTTTTCGCGGCCTCTCTGCCTGTCTTCTGATATACCTATCTCCATTTCTCGCCCTGTTGTTCAGAAGCCATCGGTAGTTACCAGATCGGAATCTCCCCATAGTGTTCATTTAACCGACGTTAATCTTGGGAGATCCACGCCAACAGACTCTATTCTTCCGAGAAGTGCATCGAGAAGTCCCAGTGCCTCTGCCTCTCCAAAGTTACTGTATGAGAAGTCCAGGTGCCTGGAACTTTCTACTTCGCCAGTTACACCTACAAGAGCTTCGAAAGCTGTCCATAGTACTATCTCTCTTTGCAATCACAGTGAAAATGATAGCCCAAGCAGACGAGTAAGCGACCCTAGAAAATTAGCCCCAACGGCCAATTTTAGCTCTGTTCGCAACAGGAGAGACAATGGCCGAGTCACAAATGAAAACTCAAGGGGAGGCAGAGTCACTACGAAGGGCGACCTGCCGGCCTTAGGAGATATACACTCGACAATTAGCAGCAAACGCATGGTGGACATATTCTTGAGTCAGAGACGGCGTCAAATGGGTGGAACGGAGAAAGGTATGGAGTACGCTTTTATCTAGCCCTACTCTACCTTCGCAACTCCATACCAGCTTATGTCACTCCTTCTACTCGGTTAACGGGGGACTTATGAATTGGAATAGTTTTTACGCCTCATTTGGAACGTACACTACTACCCCATTCATACCTGTCTATCTTATTCTGTTTACACCTTTTGCTATTTGGATATTCCTCGTTCGTAGTATAAAGGGATACTATGCGCTTCTTTCTTATTCATTCTGTCTCTCCTTCAAAACCTCTTGGTGGTTTCTCACTATGTTCCTGCCAGTATACCTGTTAAACCTAATTAAAGTATTTCAGTTACCGTATTTCCCTTTGTTGAGAGTATATCAACGATTTTTTTTTTCTTCAGTTTTTGCCACGGGGGTGGGGCGGTTAATCGATTCGCAGCGCCAACTCGTTCCGTAATCAGTTTACAAATGCGTCGCTATTTTCCTAATTTTCATCATGCACCTACTTATATTTGACGTCACTTTTTCACGGCGGAAACTCAAACTTTCTCCAAAACCGCTTTTTGGGAATCTTGGAACCCCCCAAAATTTCTCCCGCTCTCGTCCCAGAGATCAGATGGGAGCGGAATTCTTTATAGTTTTCCAGTTACTTTTCTATGCAAAGCGTATAGCATTCCCGATTCGTTGGCTATGAATGACTTACCGCGATATGTATTGGGAGCCATCGTGATATGATTAATGATTGATATGTTGCTATAAGGCGAGCTTGTAATACCAACAACACCAGTGCCTGTTGCAATCAGTGCCCAACAGTGCGGTCCCCAAACAGGTATTGTTCTGGGATATGTTCTTGCCAGCGGGGCGGAATTCCGCTGCGTATCACCGCCTGTCTTTCTGTTGGACGCGCGCAGAAGATACTTTCAAGAAGGTTCACTCTCTGCCAGTTGCCCGCTGGAAGCTATGAGCCTAATAAAAACGGCAAAACCTTACCCAAAAAAAGGGTTTCACCATATCTGCTACACTTCTCATAAGTGAACTTTATTCAATAGGACGTTATCCTCCATGCCTTGGACTACCTTATTGCTGCGTGTCTCTCTTTCCTTCCTTCCTTCGATGTTTCTTTCACCTATTTCCTCACTACGCCTCAAATACCTTTCTATCAAGTACGATCATCTTGATATTGCTCAAGAAAGCTCTTTCTATTCACTATAATCCAATACACATCTCGAGTGCTCTTTAGGCGCATAGTTGTATCTACCTGTTCGTTATTTCTTTCCTCAAAAGAAGCCCTGGTCACGAGCTAGAAACTCGCGCCTACCTCAACCATTATTTTACGAGCAAAGCACAGGATAAGAGAGAGACTAAAAGGGAAGGCTCTCATCTCAAACCTGTCCAACCATATCATCACCGGTAAGTCCTTCCAGTCTTACAGCTAGCCAGGGTGGGAATAACAGAATCGCAAGCATAGGAAGGTGCAACCATGTGGCTTATGATATGGCCCATCGCGTTCTGGGCAGCTGCCGTCATGCTTGCCAGCTCACTATTTTATATCCAATACAGAGTTAAATGGCTCAGGACTGAGGCTATTTTGAGCATCATCTTTGTTCTTCTGAACTTCACTGTAATTGTGTTTCTTGGCTACCAATGGGTCTCCTATGAGCTTGACTTTGATGAACTCAACAGACGACACCCGCATATCATCAATACTCAGTGCATTATTTCACACGTCATATTTTTCTCATCGTTTGGAATTTCAGTCATCGGTTGCGCCAGCTACTTCTTTGTGAAAAGACTCCTCCTCCCCAGCCGCAAACATCACATCAACAATAGTAAAATCCAATTGCTCCTATGTGCCTTTGCTATGGGCAGTGCTTGGATGGTCACATACCCTTCATCACAAGCAAAAGACAGCCAAGATGAATTCAGAGAATTGCTTGAGAGCGGAAAACACGAGGAATTGCGGTCCAAGCTCCGTGGCCTCGCTAACCTCCATATTGGCCTTGAAGTATTCGCATGGCCTATGGTTTATGCAGGCCTGTACGCGTTTGCCAGAGCGTTACGCTCAATAAAGTCCCGTGCATCGGACTGCTTTTTTAAAGCCTCCCTCCTCCGGCACGGAATTTCCACTCCACCTTATTCTCCCCGCAGACCTTACGAGGCAGAATACGGCGATCTCCAAGCTGAATTCTTCGGCAACAGCGCTCTTGTTCAGCTAAAATCGTTTGACCAGCATCCTATGGTTCGTCCATTGGCAAATGCTACACGCCATCCGCCAAGAAACAGGCTAGTATCTCTAGCAGAAATACCAGATTTGAGACTCCCTCCTCCAGCATTCCTGGGCGATCAGAGTTTTTCTCCAGGGCTAGTCTCAATAGACACCTTCGTCCTAGATGTGCCGTGGACAACCCCATGTTCGAGATTGAGTCACTGTTCGATTACATAGACGGGCACAGGCAGCCTGTCATAAAGTGATGATTAAATGAGGATGTCCGCTAACATTTGTTCTACGGTACATTAGGATTTAGCAGATTTGCGATGACATCTCAGTCATGATTTCATCACCTGCAAAAACACCTTGTTGTGCTGGCCTTGAAACGTTTTAGTAACTTGAATGCATGCTTCTGATCCCACGGCGGTAGCAGCTTCTCTGTTAGGCTGAGTTTGACGGGGTCGGTTTACTAGCTGGTGACGCTCACCCCCCGAGCTATCGAGCAATCGAGCAGGGGTAAGCCGATTGAGAACGTATAACTTGTGCTTTGAAGTTATGAAGCAATCGAACAGGAGTATCAGCACAAGGAGTCCAATGATTCAGGTCGCTCGTATGTGAGGTAGATCAAATATTGTTTTCTCTTGCACGTCAAGTTGTACCGTTTTTGATCCAGCCCGGAAACAACGCCTCTACTATATCGCCTGAGAGCCCAATTCAAACGAGAAAAGACCCGCCTGTTGAACAGATTGCTCAAACTGTGCGGATGGCCATAATTTCAGAGAACCCATCGACAGGAGTGTGATCATATAAAATATGAGCACTACATAGGGTTGGGACTGCCACGTGAAATATAGCCCTGTCAGAATGTCAGTCCAACTGCCCAGACATAATCAATTAGGCAGTTAATTAGGGCCTTGGGAAGGTTAGCTGGGCGTCCGAGATCGATTCATGAACTTCTTGATTTGTTCATGACAGCCAGATCTGGGCAAAGTGCCTCACTCGACTTCAACGCTGGTAAAGCAGGTTGCTGCTTATGTCCATCTGACGCGGACAGACCCCTAGGCCTCTGTGTTCGCTACAGCAGAAAATGTCCTGGCCGGGGTAGGAGAGCGCCAGAATGAAAATCCCGATCTAATCGCAGTACACTTGCAATGGACAAGGAGGTACAGCAAGGGCTTACTGGGCTCATCGTATATGGGCGAATGTCAAAACCCGCTACAAATTAGGTAGTGTGGTGGATGAGCTCTTTCATGGACATGAGGACTAAAGATTGAGTCTACTTGAGCTTATCATATATTATTGTTGTTGTGTGTTTTGGGAATAAGTTGTTTGGCTGGATGAAGCACCGATCTATTTTTTTCGGGAGATTGTGTTTTTAACACTGCATTTTCTCTGTTACTATATATACATCTCAATGTCCATGCGTATCTTTTGCTATCTACGTATTATCGACTCCTAGTGGTAGCGGAGACACATCTCCCTCTTGAGCTTAAGCCCACCACACCATTCATCGCGAGTACCATGGCTGCTCTCTACTTGTTCGCTGAGTTGAGCCTTCGCTTCCTGTTTCTGGTTTTAACAGAAAAAAATGAAAGAGAAAAGGGGCTATAATAAGCTTCCCGAAGAGGCTCAACGGCCGTCGGTGTCTCCACTCAGCTCTGTGATGAGCTGACACTCCAAAATCTTGTGCTTATCATCCATATGTTGGGAAAATACCAGGAGGAACGGAAATCGACATTTCGACCCCGCCGGGATCGGTAGGCGGCTGGCGTGTCAGGACGGAAGGATGGAAGGGTGAAAACGGGTGTAAGAAGAGAGGATGGCTGTGATCATCTCAGGTTTTTTCAAGGAATTTGAGAGTGAAGGTTTATAGTTGATTAATTTATTATCAACAAGTATACTTATCCTTCATATCTTATCCTATACTCGATTTCTTCAATCAAGTCTCTGCCTTCTCCTCTCCGCGTATTTCATCTGCCCTTTCCCATACGCGCATCATGCTTGCCATGAGTTGAGCAAGATATATAGGCTTTAGAGTTGACAAATGAAGGTGTGGTTGAGAATCTATGTGTATATTGTAAACTAGTTATGACTTGGAAATAAGAGATAGTAACCTGTGTGTATATTATCATCAAAATACAAAAATTAAATCCTTCTAAGGCTACTTAATACTAGCTATTAAAATATTGGAACGTTAAATTCCTTTCCATCCCCTCTTGCTCTTTTTGAACGCATGTACAGTGCTCCGCAAAGTAAGTACATACATGTGCAATTAGGAATCCGAACCCAGTTAATTAGGAAATGTGAGAAATATCTTCAATGGAAGGAAGAAAAAGAGAAAGAGAAATCTCGATCAACCATATCAATTTTAAACACAAGGGGGAAAAAAGAATATATGGAACGGAGGAAGAAAAGATATACGATAAGGATAAATAAGCCCAGGTGGTGTTCCAACGCGGTAGGGAAAAATGATATATCATATGAAAAGCGATATATAAAAAGACCCAAGGAAAGAGAAAGGAAAAAAAGAAAGGGAAGGGAAGAGGAGAGAGAAGAAGTCAAAGGTAAATTAGATGGAACAAAGGAACCTGAACCTGAACGCGACCAAAACTAAAGATTAGAAATATAAATTTTCAAGTTAGGCTTTTTTATCTTTTAAATTTTAAAACGCGAGAGAGAGATAATAAGAGAGAAGGGCAGATGGACGGTGGTGTGTCTTGTTTTTGCGTGTCGGTTTTCCAGCGTTAAATCATCCAAACCCCCGCTTCCCTCTCCGCTTCCTTTCTTTCCCATTCCCCCCCTGTTCCCTCATCGAAAAACCCACCCCCTTCATCACTCGCAATAGTTCGCCGGAAAACTCCCCTTTACCCCCCTAAGCTCCCCTTCCCACCAATCATCCGTACTCTCCGTCTTCTTAAGCACACGTATGCGATCACCTTCTCGAAACGCTAGATCACCAGCTCCCTGGCCAGGGAAATCGTAGAGGGCCGTCACGAAGACGGCATGGCTGGACGCTGCGCGCGGAGGTGGGGGTGGAGGCTTCTTTTTCGCTGCCGCGGCGGCTACGTGTGTTGTCATGCCTAGCGGTGTTCCAGTGTGTTGGACGGACGATGGCTGTCGCTCGCGGCTGAAGTAGTCCATGCGTGGGCCGGCGGGGGAGTATCCGGTTGGGGTTATGCTGGGAGCTGCGGGGATGGAGGAGTAATCTGAGATTTCTGGGGAGTATCTTGGTTTCGTGGAGGAAGGGTATGTTGTATGATTATGGGGGGGCGAGTGGCCGTTGGGCCCGCCGCCGTTTGGTCGAGGTTTCGATTCGAAGACGGGGGATGGGGCGCGGAGGTCGCGGATTGGGGAGACGGATGGTTTGCGCACGGTTGATTGGTTGCTGCTGGTGCGACGGGCGCCTAGGCCGTTTGGGAAGGAGCCGTTTTTGTGTTCGTCGGATGTTCTGGGTTGGCGGGAGGTTCTGCGGTGGGAGAGACAGGTTATGGTTTCTACTTCCCGTTGGGCGGGGGCGATATCTCGTTCCCAGGTTTGAATTACCAGGTCCATTGCAGGGGGCGGGGAAGGGAAATTTTCTTGTTCGCAGTAGTTGTGGAGGGTCGTGTAGTAGAGTGCGAGAAGAGTGTTTTGGATATCGATTTGTGCAGCTAGTAGATGGGGGAGGATGGAGAATGTGGCCGTGATTAACCGCGGGAGATGGGCGCGAAGATGGTCGTCTGCAGCGCTATATTCCTGTTTTGATATTTAGTACTCCATAAGTTCTGGAAATGCATGCTTCAAGAAGGGTTATAGCGGTACGGACATCTTTTGCTCTGCTCAAGTCCATCTCAGCCTTCGCCAATGCTGCATTATCTCGATCGGACCGCTTCGTCTTCTTCCGTGATGTGTCCACTCGGTTTTGATATCGCTCAAAATCCAGCTAGAAATATAAATATGTTTAGTATGAGAGTACGATGGATATGTTAATTAATATTGGCGGATTGTATATATAGTTAGTATGCACGGCACACACCTTCTTATCATCCCTCTTTTTAATGATCTTTTTAAACGGCTGTAGGTAGTCCTTTGCGTCCATTGCGGGCCTGATCATTCTCTCATCCACGCTGTTGATCTCCGTCAGAAGCTCCGTCCTCAATTCCTCGTACGCCTCGTGTAGTCGAGCTGTTCTCGCGAGCGTAGCCTCTGGGGTTTCAGCTGGGGGGCGGGGGTTAGAGGGCTCTGAGGAACCCACTATAGGGTTGTAAAGAGATTCGAATTCCTGGACCATACGGGCCTGGTAAGTGAGGATGGCCGTCCAGGCATCGCGCCATGCTTTGCTCGAGTCGATTACCTATATCCACAATCCAATTGTCAGAGCTTCTCGTTCCCTTTCTATTCCTTTTTCCACATTATGTTATATCCCGGGTTGCCTTTCCCCTTCCGCCTTTTATATTTGTAGGTTTATTTTATTTCCCTGCTAACTTCCACCCATCGAGCCCAAAAATAAGATATAGGAGAAGGAAAGATTTTCGCATACCCTTGCCAGCAGCTTGTCGGCATCGTCAAAATCCTTCAGCAAGACAGAGACCTGGCTGTCGTCCGCAGACCGCTTCATAAACTTCCCGAACTGCCTGTGTACCGTATTCATGGTGGCTGGGTTTGGTGGAGCCGTAGATCGGTGGTCGCGGGAGTCAATTTAGGAGGGGGGTCACGAGAGGGAGATTGTCTCAGCGGAGGTGGAGGGAGCGGGTGTCGCCAAAAAGGAGCATGGATAAAGACGGTAAGCCTAGTTAGAGGATGCTAAGGATGAGTCTGAGCGGGGAGTCAGAGGATATGGAGACAGTTGAAGAAGAAAAATGGAAGAAGAAAAAGAGGGGAGCAGTTGAAGAGTGGAAGGAGAAGAGGAAGAAGATCTTGAAGGAAGCGGGTGCAACAACAGGCTGCGTCACCAATTGCAGATCCCTGCAGCTGAGTCTGTTTCAGCGCAGAAGGCAGAGAGACACAAGAGAAGAGACAGAGATAGAAAACGACAGCGAGTTGACTGGACACAAGCAGAAAACAGGAGAGGGAGCGGGAAAGTGATTGACAAAAGAGAGGGGATAATAGGGAGAAATGTACGGAGTAAAGTAACTAGTTGAGCAGTAAAAATAGAACCACCAACTATTTAGCCTGACAAGAGGATTCAGTACCCAGACACAAAGCCCAGCAGCAGCAGCTCGCTTTGATCAATCAATCATTCAAGCAAGCAGTTA